GGCGGGTCCGGGCTGGGGATTCGAACCCGCCACCTTAGGTGTACGTGGCTGGCGCCTTAGCTGGTTGAGCTATAGGAGCCGAGCCCAGATCTACTACTTTTAGAAGAAACACCACTTCGCTCTTGCTCAAGCTGGTCTTGAACTCCTGACTTCAAGTGATCCCCACCCCAGTGCTGCCTAGGCCTCTCACAGTGCTTGGATTATAGGAATTAGCCACTGTACTAGGCCTCCTAAGGCTTTATATACAATGAGTATACATATTCCCCCTAAGTAGGCAAATGAAGGGTAAGACACTTTTTCTAACTCCCAACACTCCTACTCATGGTCAGATAGTGGAAACTAACATAAGAGTACACACACAAAATAGCTTCCTATTTGCTTTTCTCAATTCTCATCCCCAAAATGATCTCTCAAACAAGTTATTTTGATTGAGCCACAGCAAGTTTTACCCTTCATTTGTATGAATAATCATAATTGCATAGATTTCAGTCTTTCGGAGGGTAGGAAGAGATAGAGGAAGGACCTATATCTATGTCATAGGATTCTCTTCTCGAGGAGGGAAAAAAGATACCACATATCAGAGTCTACAAGAATCAATTCAAGATTCCAGTGTACTATATAGCAGCAAACCAGTTAAACCCTATTGTAGCTGGACTAGGTAGGGGGTATATCTATCCAAGCAAAAGCAGTTCAGAGGTCATCTGTAAACTGTAAGCAAACAGGGGAGGACACATACCATTCAAGGCCATGGGAAAGGAAGAGGATACCTGATCTGCTCAGGAGTTCCTCCTGATGTGGCATTTGTGATGGCCCAGGCTGCCTCTTTCCTTGTACGGAACTCTGCTTTCTGAAGGATTTCGATCAATACAGGGAAGATATTTGCATCTATAACAGCCTGAGAGAGGAATGAGAGAAGGAGGATGGAGGAAAAATGTCACTTCAAGAGGAAAAAGCAAATCCAGCCCCCAAATGAGGTAAGACTTAGACATTATCCCCCTTATGATGGTTCTCTTTTGTTCTTCCCATATAAGTGATAAGCTACAGGTGAACCAACTTCAACTACACAGATTCTTTGACCAATAGCACATGCTGACTCTACTTTCTAAAGGTAAAGACATTCTTTTTTCCTAGAAGCAAATATCCCATCACCCTCATGTTACTATGTCTCTCCACCCTTCCACTTCCTTCTTATACCTGTATTTGAGCCCTGTTGCCAGCTGTGATATTTGAAATGGTCCAGCAAGCTTCCTTCCGGATTGACTCCTTGGGGCTGCTCAACAAGTGAAGAAGGCAAGGGAGGGCTGAACAGTTTAGAATTACCTAGAACACAAAAAGCACAGGAAAAGAAAAAGAAAAATTAGATAAGGGCTGGGTGCAGTGGCTCATGCCTAAATTCTTAGCACTCTGGGAGGCTGAAGTGCGAAGACTACTTGAGCTCAGGAGTTCAAGACCAGCTTGAGCAAAAGTGAGACAATCTCTACGCTGGGCATTGTGGTAGGCACCTGTAGTCCTAGAGACTAGGGAGGCTAAGGCAGAAGGATTGCTTAATCCCAGGAGTTTGAGGTTTCTCTGAGCTAGACTGACGCCAAGGCATTCTAGCCTGGGCAACACAGTAAGACACTATCTTTAAAAAAAGAAAAAAAAATTAGATAATCTGAACTTAACCAAAATTTAAAACTTTTATACATCAAGATATCAGAATAGGCTCGGCGCCTGTGGCTCAAGTGGCTAAGGCGCCAGCCACATACACCCAAGGTGGCGGGTTCGAATC